GTGTGTGGGGAGGCTGGGGCCACCACCTCCTGGTCACCCCACTCCCCAGAAGCAAATGGGTCCATATTTCCTGGGGCAGCTAAGCCAAAGCTGGCTTGGTCTTCTGGGGTCCAGGTGGGGCAGATGCTTAGAAGTCTTCCTGAACAGAGCCATAGCAGGAAAAAAAGCAAGCAATTGTAATCCAAGCACTCAACTCTTCTCTTTCTCTCCCCCAGTGGTTCACTCCAGATGGATTCAGGTCTCTCTTTGCTCTTGTTGGGACCAATGGCCAAGGGATTGGGACCAGGTTAGGAGAGAATGTTCTAGAGATCTTAGGTTGTCCCTCATGGTTCGGTATGGAGATTGACTGAGGAAGGTAGCCACCGCTTCTTTCAAGCCTGGGGTGGGGTAGGATGTGACTTTGGCCAGAGTGCTGAGCTGGATGTGTTGGGAGGAGTCCAGTGGAGAGAAGTTTGCACCGGGGAGCTTTGGTTTGTTGGGGAAGTTGGGGCCCCCAACCTGGAGAAAGAAATGGGGTGGGGTAGGAGCCCCTTCTGCCTGGACTTAACTTGCCCTGTGACCTGGGCCTTCTCTCCAACCATGGGCTGCCTGGGAACCCAGCTCCCTGAGCCAGTGGGTCCATGCCTGTGATGCTCTAGAGCTGAAACCTCAGGACCGTGAGCAGCTGGATACCTTCATTGACCAGCTGTACAAGGACATCGAGGCAGGTTGGTGAAATGGGGCCATTCTGTTCCCCCCCACCCAAGTCAGAGGGTGGACACAATCATTCCCAGGAAGCGCCGAGTTAATGGTGGGTAAAGTAATCCTGTGTGTATCTGTGGGCAGCTGCAGATCTGTCCATAGGACAAGTGGTTGAGAAATGGCCCAGAGATTCACCCAGAGGCTTGATGCTGGGAGGAGGGGGAGTGCCGGACAAATAGGGTGATATTGCAGACAGAACAAGCTTGTGCTTCGGAGAAGCAAGTTTAGGTAAAGTGGTGGGCCCTGGGTATGTTAGTATGGTGGGGTGGTAGGACAGTAGAGCTGGTGCCTTTCCTTGTCAGCCTAGTTTCCTACCTATAAAATGGGTAGAACAGTGTCTGCATATTACTATCTTACAGCTACTGGTGAGTTCCTTAACTGTGAAGGATCTGGCCTCTTTGTGCTTCAGAGCTGCTGTGAGTCATGGCACTGGGTGGCAGGGAGGAGGGTGGTGGTGGGTAGAGACTGGGCCCTTGTTGGGTAGCCTCATAGATACAGTTCATTTTTCTCAGATAGTCCTTCTAGGCTGGCTGGATTGAGTCTGTGAGTAGGGTTAGGCCTGAGCTTCTTTGGGGACTCCCTTAGGGCTTTTTGCTTCATTTTTTCCCCCATTTATTTATTCAGTTGCTTGTACTTTTTTTTTTCTTTTCTTTTCTTTTTTCTTTTCTTTTTTTTGTGGTACTAGGATAACCTAGAGCCAAACATATGCTATGTAAGTGGTCTGCCACTGAGCTACACCCCTAGTTACCTGCTCAGTTTTCATACTTATACATGAAACCTTATAGTGTGCCAGGCCCTGTCTAAGGCAGACACAAAGATTGGCTTCTTGCAAAGGAAAGTTTGGGCTTTGCTCCATCACTGCCCTGGGGTGTGTTAGGGGAGCACTAGGAGAGTCCAGGAGGCCTGCAGAGTGCTGGGGAGAGGGAGCACAGGTGAGGCCAGTCTCCTCAGCACCTGACAGGGAGGGTCAGAGCCAGCTCCAACAACTGCCTTTTCCAGGTCTCGGCCACCTGGCCCTTGGTTTTCTCACTGCACGTCTGTCCTGCCAGGCTCCAGAGAGGGTACTCAGAGGGCCTGAGTTAGCCATTACCTTATGTCCAGTAGCAGACAGAACTGAGTTAAATAGTCTGGTATGGGCATCCTTTCAGAGTCCTGACCTCTCTTAATGAGACAGTGAGAACATAACTGAGAATGAATGGCCAGTCTCGGGAGGTTGGAGTGGGCAATGATGTGCGAGTGCATTTGTGCCTTGTGCTGTGGTCTTCGGGAAAGAGCACTGGATGAGGAGGCAGGAAACTTGGGGTCTGGTACCCAGTCACCCCTGCCAGGGTTCTGAGAACAAGAAGGGAAGGGACTCAGTGCTCTGCCAAGTTGAGATTATTATTTTTTTTAGTTAATAGTACTCATTACCTGCCTCTTGTGACTCAGGTAACCACAGCTGTGTTCCCAATGCAGAGACTGCCTTCCCAGAAAACAACTTCCTTTTGCATGTCACCGCCCTGGAGGATATTAACCCAGGAGAGGTGAGGGGGACCAGGGATGCAAAGGTTTGTGTGGACAGTGGGCCTGTTAAGTTCTCTCCAGGGATTAGGAGCAGCAGTGACTAGATCCTCCTAAAGGTCAGGCTCTTGGAGACTTCTTACATGCCTCAAGGCCTGAGTCTTTGCCCATAGGTATGTTCTAATCCCACCCTGCTTCAAAAAATAACTCCAGAAAGCCTCAGAGCAGTATTTGAGGGACAGCTGTGTGTCTAGGTTCCTGTCCTTAGCTACCTTTTGATCAACAGATCGGCAGCTTCTAAAAAAGTGGGAGGTAATTTTTTGTGGCTTTGTCTGTGGGGAGTTGGTATAGGTTTGGGTGTCCTGGCTAGGAGTGCAGTACACAGGGCAAGTAGAATCACACCAAGATAACCTCTGAGCCTAGCTACAGACCTTGGCCACTGACTGGCTTTCACCATGGCCTGAGGCCACTTGCAGTCTATCCTCTGTCTCTGACAGTGGTTGCTGAAACCTCATGATGCCTGCCTGTTGAAGGCATGGAAAATGAATTGGGATAGCCCACCCTTCACTGAAGGCAGCTCAGGCCTGGCTCCCAGGGATGGAACAGTGGTTGGAGATAGGGCAGTTGTTGGGGAAGCCCTTATCCTATCTAATGGAAGGTACTCCATTTATCTAATCTAATTAATCTGTGTAATCCAATCTATCCTAATATGAGACCCCACCTTTTCTCTGCCCTACAGGAAATCTGTATCAGCTACTTAGACTGCTGTCAGCGGGAGCGCAGCCGCCACAGCCGCCATAAGATCCTTAGGTGCCAGCTGGGGACATGGTTGGGCAGCTGGGCTTGGGAGTCCTCCATCCTGTGGATGACTTTTCACCTTCATCATCCTCCACACCTGCAGGGAGAACTATCTGTTTGTCTGTTCCTGCCCGAAATGCCTGGCAGAGGCTGATGAACCAAATGTGACCTCAGAGGAGGAAGAAGAAGAGGAGGAGGAGGAGGAGGAAGAGGAAGAGCCAGAAGATGCAGAGCTAGGGGATGAGATGACTGATGTGTGATGTTGCCTGCCTGGAATGGGCCGTGCCCCAGATCCTGCTAGAAAAGGGGGCCCTCCCCTCAGAAAAGAGGCTTGGAAGGAACTCCCCATTCCCATTGCCTGCTTTCCCCCTTCCAGTACTCTGCCAGAGCATAGGATGGGGGCTGCATCCTAGGCCCCGCATCTCCCACAGACCTCATGCACTGAGCACTTCTGCTGAGTTGGCTCAGGCTCTGTGCCATCACTGAGCCTTCCAGAACTGGCCTCCCTTGAGTTTACTCCACTCTAAGTGAGGGGTTGGAACCAGGGTCTGGGCCTAACAGTGTTTCTTAGTCCACACTAACCTTCCACCAGTGGCTTCTCCCCTCTCAACTGATTATTGGTTTATTTTGAGGGGGTAGCAAAGTGACATATCTGAGACCACACCAGTCTCACTGAAGTGGAAAGGAGAGGTATGGCACTTCAGCTTCCTTACCTCATACCTGCCATGACTATAGCTGGTAGGGTGATAGCCTGCCCATAAGCCAGAGGGAAGAGGCAGGAAGGAGGGTCTGAGACTCCAGAGCACCTTCCCTAAGGCTGGCTACCAGAGGACACTAGACCAGGGAGATTTCCCCTCCTTCCCCCCACTCCCACTGTTAGGACATCAGGGGAAGTGGGGATTAGCCCCTTCCCTAGACTCCGGAATCTCTGTACCTCATGCCTTGTCTCCCAGGCCCTGGCACAGTGGCTGGCCCCCACAGGGTATGGAAGGAGCTTCTGCCTTCCTTAAAAGGGGATCATCGCCCTTTCTTACACCTTCCCACTGAGGGTTCTAGCAATCTGGCTGAGACCTGTGGGATGACAGGCCTGTGCTCCTTAGTTTAGGATGCTTGAATTTTCCTGGGGCCTGTAAAAATGAGCCAGTGAAGGGCTCTCCTGGCCTCAGTCTCCATCTTTAGTTTCCACAGGGGAACATGGAAGTCTTCCAGAAACCTAAAGGAGCTGGGCTAGATACTTAGCGGTTAGCCATGAGTGTCCCTTCCATCCCCTAGATGAGCATCTCTCTCACTCTTGGGTTGGATGCTGTGGGCATTACAAGCATCACTCCCAATTCATTCCTGCCTGCCTTCCTTGAAGGGCTTGCCACATCACCTTTCTGAGAGATCCCAGGGAAGACAGATGCATCCTTCAGGCCCTTCCCTGGGCCATGCAGCCCGGTGGGACCTGGCCATCTGCTCCCTCATTTGCTGGGTCTTTGCTCCTTCACAGTAGTCAGCACCCATCTCCTGCCCCACCTGCCCACTTCCTCAATAAAATATGAGTGGTGACAGGCCTTTCTTTGTAAGATTGTTTTTTGGAGAATGGCTGGACAGGCCTCTCAGTCATAGAGGTAGGTGCAAAGGGACACAAGTTAGACCAGGTGACAGTGGCAGATAAGAGCTACAGTTTCCCCAGCTATGCTCATTTCTTGTCTCAGCCACACTTGCCATGCAAATGGTCCTAAAGCCAGAATAAATGTCCTCTGAAGCCTGGTTTAGATCGCCAGCACTAGTTTACAAGATGATTCTTCTCCCTAAGGGACTGAACTACAGCTCTCTGGAGCTTCCTGAGCATTGGTCCTAAAGGATCTATGGAAAGTGATTGTCTTCACTGGACCTCAATTGGCTTCCATGAAAATGATGGTTTGGGACCAGAAGAGTAAGTGTAGAAACCCTACCCCTGTGTGTTCTAGGAGACAGAATCCTGATGAGCTTTATTGCTAAAAAGTCAGTGAGTTTATTGAGTCCCCAGACACCAATTCCTTAAACCTCTCCAGCAATTCCTGTGAAGAGGAGACCATGGGTTGGGGAGGTTGAACCAGGTGGAATGTCACAGGTGGCCTCCTTCTAGCTCCTTTTGTTCTAGATTCCTGCCAGAAGCCCTGGAGCTTGGCTCTTGCCTCTTCCTGTAGCACAAGATGTCCTTGGGAGCCTTGGTGAAGAGAGAGCCCGTGATGTGGCTTTCTTCCCTCTGCTTGGCTTCACTTGTCCACAGATGTTCTCCCCAGATTCCAAATAGCAGAGTGCCTGGGTTTCCCCTTCCAAGCCCAGGGTCACTTAAGGCTGGAATGTTGGACCAATTCTACCAGAAGGTCCAGGGTGGTTGTAGCAGCTCAAAGGTGGGGATGCTGGTGACATTGACTGGGATAGAAATGATGGCCCATGGCAGCCCATGCTGTTCCAGTGAGCGACGGATCATGTAGCTGGTAGGGCATGGAAAGTGGTGATGATCACTTTCTTAGCACCCCAACCTGCCCCTCTGTCCCCCCTTGGGAGTTCCAGAGCCTGAGAATTTTTTTTGCCTTCCAACGAGGGTACCCCATGACAAAACCTGTGGGATGCGATTGGTGATTACCCGTTACCTCCCAGTCATGACATCCCACTTGGTGCTGACAGGCCAGAGGCAAGGAGCCCTCACCCATCTCTGCCGAGCAGAAAGAGGGCAGGAATGTCAGCCGTGCGCTGGGTACTGTCCTGGATCATTTCCACGTAGAAGCTGTCATTGTCAACTGCATTGTCAGAGATGATCACGGCCCGCCCACCATGCTCCTGTACCACTCGGGTCTTGGAGAGGAAGGAGCAGCCCCTGCAAGAGGTGGTGATGAGACCAAAGGAAAATAGGTCCTAGCTACCCCTTCCCCACCCCACAACCCTAAGAGGATGAAAGGAGGACCATGAAGAACTTGAAAAAAGGCTCCTTAAGTACATACTCAAAAGCATGGATAATCTTAAGGCATTTAAAGACCTTTAAAAGGATGATTATTCAAAAACAACTATTTCAAACTACCACCACTAGCCATGGTCTCAGAATTTGCTATATGTCTGCCCACTCCTTACCCCCTCTCCACCAGAGCGATTTGGTCCTGAATGAAGAAACCGTTTCTAAGTTCCCCACAGGCCTCTGGAGGTTCAGCAGGGACAAGATGGATCTGTTCATACCTTGTGTGCTGAAAAATGTTTAGACATTTGGACAGGTGAGACATCTGCTTTGAGAATGGGCTGTCAATCTCATCTCATTGGCATTGTATCACAAAGGGTGAAGGAAATGTGGAGTGGTTTCTGCCTTGCTGGGCACTTAAGCATTTTCACTTAATTCTCACAAAGACCTATATGGTTGTACAAGCTCATACTGTATTTCTGTGAGATAGGTAGGGGAGGTGGTTATAGACATAGGGAGGGGAAGTAGGTACCCAGAGGTAGAGCTGGCAGGTAAAGATGGTGCCGTTCTTTGTTTTTTGAGACAGAGTATCTGTGTAGTCCAGGTTGGTTTTGAACTCACTATGTAGCCCAGGCTGGCCTCGGATTCACAGTAATCCTCTTGCCTCAGTCTCCCACGTGCTGAGACTACAGGTGTGTGCCACATGCCCCCAAACAAGGCAGCTTGTCCCTCCACGGTGCCCAGGTCTAAGTATGATCAGTGGAGTAGTTGGAAGCATTTTCTTTCTGTATTGTCACTCCTGGGAAACAGAGCTGGGTTCTGCTCCTTTCCCTGTCTCAGCACTCAGAAGGGAGAAGAGGGATACCATATAGCTCAGTGACGGAAAGGGAGAAGCTGAGGATCAGAGATCAAGGGTATTGCTGAACTTACAAAGATACCACCGAAGTCCTTGGCAGGTGTGGCTGTGAAGATGTATCGAATGTCCCCAGGACTCAGCACTTGGAAGTACAAATAATCATGGATGCGTAAGCCTGAAGGAAAAAGTACACATGAAAAGCCCCCAGGAACAGGGTGGTTTGAGTTCAAATAATGAGCTCCATGTCTTCAACTTTTCTGGCTATAGTCTGGGTCCAGGGTCCCAGTTTTAGCTGATTGGGTTCCCTGGGTGGGCAGGACAGCTGATATGGATGGAGTTAGTAACCTCAGAGATTTATATCTGCTGCTGCTGCTGCTGTTGCTGCTGCTGCTGCTGACAGAGGTGAACTAAGAAGACTGAGACCTCTAATCTCTTGACTCTTAAGTACACCTGGAAATTTCAGGGTGGAGGTATAGTGCCCTGGGCAGAAGATTCTCCCTGAAACTTAGAAGTTGACTCTGGTCCACTGCCATTTCCCTGGCCCAGTCACTATCATCTCTTGTCCTGATCGTGCTATCTTCTTAACCAGTCTGTCTGCCTCCATTTTCTTTTTCTTTTGAGCCTTGCTATTTTGCTCAGGCTAGTTTCCAACTCCTGAGTTTAAGCAATCCTCCTGCCTCAGCTGCCATCTGCCTCCATTCTTGCTTCCTAAGGTCCATTCCCTAAACAACAAACAAGTATCTTAAAACATCTTAGTTCTTTTTTTCCCCCCTTCCAAGAGATTATGTAAAGGTGCAAATTTCCAATGATGAATGTCATTATATTGTATAACTAAAATGTACCAATAAAATAAAATTTTAAAAAAATCTTAGTAATTATATCATGACTGAGGGCTTTAATACCTTCACTGATTTCCTTTGTAACGTCTACACTCTTCACTGTGGCCTACAAGGGCCTGTACAAGGGCTTGCCACCTGGCCACTACAACAATTTCATTTTCCTCTTCCTGTGTTTAAGCTACCCTAGTCTCTTTTCAGTTTGTTCATTTCTTTGTATCTTCTTGCAAGCTGTTATCTCTACTTGGAAGGGTCCCTACTTACACCCCACCTCCACTATGTGTATGTGTGTGTATGTGTGTGTGTGTGCTAAGCACCTTATCAAGAACTACATCCCCATCCCACCTGCACCCCTTTTTAAAAAATGGATGAGACAAGGTTTCACTTAGTTGCCCAGGCTGGCCTCAGATTTGTAATCCTCCTTCCTGTGCCTCCCAAGTAGGTAAGATTACAGATCTATGCCACCAAGCTCAGCTCCACCTTCACTTTATGTGCCTCACTCCTAGTCATCCTTCAGGTCATAGATTAAATGTTATTTTCTCAGAGAAAGATATGTTCCATGATTGCCCATTCTTTTGCCCATTCAAAAACGTACATTTTCCCATTAATACTTTCAACATAATTTGTAAATGTACAGTATCCATAATTCTTTTTTTTGGTGCTAGGGCTCAAACTTGGGTGCTTGCGCTTGCGCAGCAGGCAGCGAAACCACTGAGCCAATAGGGCAAGAATTATAAATTTGTATAAATTTTATTCAATGCTGAATCCCCAATGCCTAGCATAGTGGCGGGGATATAGTGGGTGCTCAGTAAAGGTTACTGAGTGAAAGAACAACTGCAGGGCTGGGGATTTAGCTCAGTGTTTCCGGCGCCTGCCTCGAAAGCGCAAGGTTCTGAGTTTGATCCCCGGTACCAAAAAAAAATCCAAAAAATTTTGGCCGGGGATTTAGCTCAATGGTTTCGCCGCCTGCTGCGCAAACGCAAGGACCCGAGTTTGATCCCCGGCTCACGCACACACACACACACAAAAAGAACAACTACAAACCTCCACTGCCATTAGTAAGAGAACTGCCAGAACCACCGGTTTTTTGGGGTACAGGAATTTCTTTTTAGCATCAAAGTTTAATGTTTTACCTGGACTTTAGTCCCTAGGTTCCTTAGTCCTAAGAGTGATGAATGCTCAAAGAGGCTGCGACCACAGGTCCAGCAGGCAATCAGACTACCAGCCTATTGCTGTGAGCCAGCTGTCTATGCTCAAATCACAGCCAGCAGATAGAGATCCTAGGGCTTGGCCCTGGGCTATATGGCCTTTTGTTCTGGAAATGAATGAGGACTTCTCATCAGATTCAGAGGCACTCCCCAGGAAGCCTTACCGAATTGATGTTAACTCTCCTCTCCGCCTACACCTTTGCTTGGCCTTTGCATATCCTTACCTGTGTGTAAATTGTAGGTGTGTGTGTGTGTGTATATGCTCACATATGTGTGTGGGTGTATACGCTTATGTGCTTGTGAAGGCACAAGCGAATTGTGTACACAGATGCTTCTGTGAGTCCACGTGTAGGACTGCGTGCTGTATATGCATAGCAATGCTCACATATGTCTCCAGCTCGTATCTCCAGCTGTTCCTGTGCCTCCTCTGGTTGCAATCAGATCACCTGGGTTGGTTTTAGTTAAGGGGAGCTGGTGGGACCTGCTTCGACCTGGGGAGCTGAGGTCTCCGAACCCAGGGTCAGGATGCACCCAGTTCAATGTCCCTAGGGGCCAGCACCCATTCACTCTGGCTGCCCGTCCCCAGACTTGCTCGGCTCCAAACTCGAGGGGTCCCCAAGGCGACCCGGGGCCCCCAGCCCCGAGACGTGCGCAACCTGGACGGCCAGCCCCGCCCCGCAGCGCAGCCCCGCCCATTGACGCTCACCGTGGGCCGCGACGCACGCGAGCAGCCAAAGCACCAAACACCACCAGCCTGCGGCGCCGGGGACCATCTCCAGGACCCGGCCCGGCGCCGCGCTTGCTCTTGCTGTCCAGCCGCGCTCGTAGCTCGCCGGACTTTAGCCTGACAGCTGCTCTGGCCTCCCGCCCCCAGACCCGCTCTCTTCGCTGGTTGGCGGATGACAACGAGGTCCACGAATGATTGGCTCTGACGCCTGCTCATGAAGCTGCACTTTCCGCCTCTGCGCCCTAGCCCACTTTCTATTGGCCGAGAGAAGGGGGACCAAGGGCTGATTGGCCTAAACTCTTAACAGCAACTGCTGGCCCTTACCCCAGCCCCGCCCCCGTGTTTCTCAGTATAGATTCGACTCTACAGGACCTGGTTGGCAGTGGGCGGGCTGGAGAGGGTAGGGAAAGGTTAGGGCCGCCAGAAGGAGCTCTTCAGCTGCTGAAAGTCCTGGCCTGAAGCTCTTGCTTGGGTCAGCGTCGTTCGACGACCATTTTCCTTCTCCCAGAGGTGTCCCCTTCCTCTCCCACCTCTCCTGGGGGAAGGCATTCGTCTAGCGCCCAGGTGGTCGTCGGCCCAGTTCCACTACAGCTTGTGCACTCACAGTTGGCTGATTCTGGGGCGCGGCCTGATGCAGCTCTCCGGCGAACAGGCGCTGACCAGCGCACAGCCAGACAGCTGGCTCTGGAGCCAGTTTCTCATGCCTGTTTCGTTCCCACCTGCTGTGCATCCGTGACTGTGGACACCTTTCTTAACCTCTCGGCCTCATCGCTAATGTGGGCATAATAACAGTACCAACGCGCTAGGGTTGTTAAGAGTTAAATGAATAATATGCTTACTTAGCATACGCTTGTCCCACACTCGGCGTTCAATAAATGTTTGCATTTATTGCATGTCTTGATCTGGTGTCCAAGGGGAGAAAGGAACCGAGCAAGGATCCTTCACGTTCAAAGAGAAAACTACACACCCGTAATTCGGCTTCGATAAATAGTGCCTCGCGCCGGACCGCCCCGGAGGCCAAGCCTTTGGTCCTTCTAGCTACACCAACTCTGTGGTAGTGAACCATAGAGTGGCGGAAGTGGCTCGTTCCTTCCTCTTCTGATCCAACGGCTTGGCGAAGCTTCTGGGAACTTCTTCGGCGCGGGGGATTGTGGGCTATCTGGGCGGCCCGAACACGGAGCACAGAGGAGTAGCGGGTCACTGAAGAAGTTGCCAAAATGATGGTGAGTATCGTCTCGCGCATCCATCGCCATCCATTGCCATCTGGTCGGTGGTTGGCGCCGCCCAGCCGGGGCCTGCTCGATAGGACCCTCTTCAGTCTCTTGCTTCTGAGATTGTCCCGACTCCCCGCCCTGGAGGCGACGCCGGCCTGCCGCGCGGGCTCCTTCGCCCCGGGCATAGAGTAGGAGACGTGGGCGATGGCTTTATGTGCTCCAGGCCCCGGTAGGACCGGGGACTACAGATCCCAGCGTGCTTGCAGACCGCGAACCCACGTCGCGGGCTCCTTTTTCGAGTTCCCCCACAGTCAGAACCTGTGAAATAAGTGCGGGTCGAGCGTGCGCACACTGTCAGCCGGAGTGGAAACCCCGGGCTGGAAAGCCCGAGCTGGCGGGAAAGTGCGGGATGTGAAAGGTTTGTCCTTCTAGAACCCGCAGAAACAGCGTGAGGACCTTATGTTGCATCAACTTCACTGTCTTAGTGTGGTTGCTTGCTGTCTACGAGCCTGCCCGCTGTTGCATGCATGGAAGCAGTCTACGCTTGTTCTTGAATTTATTCACTCACTTGCTCAGACAATAAATAAATGCATGTATATAATGCCTTTTGAATGTACCGGGCCCAGCTGGTTGCTGAAGGTGCAGCCTCTCACCCAGGAGAATGGGCAAGGCAGATGGGGACATATCAGGTGGGAATACCAGGGTTCTGACTGGTGACATTAGACAGGATTTCCTAGTTGGCTATTTAAATCTGGCTCTCTTTTTCAGAGAATTGTGTGTGTGCAAGCGATGTCGGTGTTGGAGCCTAAAAGTTTTTCTGTAACCCTATCAACGCCCCCCACCCCCGCTCCAAAAACCTCAGATACCTTCTGTGGGTCTCAAGCCTTGGTGCTATGCCTGGGTCATTACTAAATAGGGTCAGATTCTAAGGAGGTGTTTGAGGACAAAAACTTGTGCATTCCTGGTTCACTTACTCATTTTAGGTTTTTTGGGAGGAGGGGTGTGGTTTGAGACAGTGTTTTGCTGTTTAGTTCAGGCTGGCCTTGATCTCACTATGTACCCCAGACTGTCCTCCCTCAGATTCCCAAGTGCTGGGATTACAGACATGTGCCTCCTTGCCCGGCTCATTTTGGTTTAATAATCCCTGTCAGTACTCTGTTCTGTCCTCCCTGCAGCTTCTCCCTGTCCTGATAGATTTCACCTGTTAGGCGTTCCCTCTGCTACCAAACTGCCTTATGAATCCAGCTTGTACTCAAGGTAGAAGAAACTTCTTCAGAAGCATTTGTCTGTACTCCCTCTCCCATTCCTACTCCTCTTTGTCCCTTTTCAGTTTCTGAGCAACATTGCCTATTTTTGTTTGGTTTTTTTGTTGTTGTTTTGCTTTGTTTTTGTTTTTTGAAGCAAGGTCTCACTAGTAGTAAGGCCAGTAACTCCCTATGTAGCCCAGGCTGGCCTTGAACTTGTGATCTTCCTGCGTCAGCCTTTTGAGTGCTGGAATTACAGGTGGGTGCCACATCAAGTAACATTACCTATTTTTTGTAGTCTCTGTGCAGAGGCAGTACAATATAGAGTAGCTGTTAAGATATAGATGTTAACATGTAGGGCCGGGATTTAGCACAGTGGTTCCGCTGCCTGCCTCACAAGCGCAAGGTCCCGAGTTTGATCCCCAGTGCCAAAAAAAAGATATAGATGTTAACATGTAGCTGTTAGATGAAGGATGCTGGAGTCACAATGAATGACTGTGTGTACTGTGCCATACTGTGTACAGTACTCTGCCATATATAGCTGTGTGACTTTGAGCATGTTACCTAATTTCTGGTGATACCAGACGATGAGATTTTGACTCACAAATGATAGAAACAAGGCTGGGTCAAGTATTGCAAGCATACGTGCTCCTGCACAGAAAGTTTATTAAGGGGAGAGCGAAAGGGGCTTCAGCCAGATCAGGGCTTTTGTTAAAGGGAATGAGAGCAGTTGAGAGATGCTTGAGAGAGTAAGGAAGCTGCTACTCATAAACAAAAAATAGCAGATCTTTATTGGTTTCCTGGGGTGGGCTAAAGTTAAATGATTTCTATTGGCCAGGAGCATGGTTCCAAAAGATGTTTCTTGGTGTTCTATCAACTCCTAGATCCTCCTATAGGCTGTTGACTCTTGTGTCTGGCACCATCATCCTGCGCAAAACAGCCTAGCTTTGTGATTGGCCTAACAGGCAGTCACCTTTGCTCAGGAACTGCTGAGTTACTCTTAGAGTTGGTATCATTATTTTGTATAAACGTTCTGCCCTTTTGATAGGGCTGAAGGACTATTAGTGCTTGAGATGCAGAAAAAACAGAAGAGCAGTGTAGAACAAACATGTACCAGCTTCAATGGGCAATAGGCCAAATCAACCTGGTATTACAGTCTTATACAAAACATTTTTTTTCTTTTGTGTGTGTGTGCATGTTCATGCGAGTGTGTGGTGTACTTGGGGATTGAAACAAACCTTCGCACTACATTCTCAGCTCTTTAAAAAAAAATTTTTTTTTTTCTCGGTACCAGGGGTTGAACTCAGGACCTTACACTTTCGAGGCAGGCAACAGCACCGCTGAGCTAAATCCCTGGCTAAAAAAATGTTTTTATCAGTACATTTTAGATATACATAATGATAACATTCATCATAGGGAATTTGTACTTGTAGGTAATATATTTTGCTGCTTCTTTACACTTGATCTTAGCCAAAAGGCCAAGAAGCGATTCTTCTTTAAATTTTTTTTTTTTTTTTTTTCCAGTACCGGGGATCAAACTCCGGTCCTTCTGCTTGCGAGGCAGGTGGCAGAACCACTAAGCTAAATCCCCGGCCCCCAAAATTCTTTTATTTTGAGACAGTCTCCTAAGTTGTCTAGGCTGGGCTTGAACTACTGCCTCAGCCTCCTAGAGGGCTGGAATTACAGGTATATGCTACTGCCCCTGGCACAAAACCTTTTTTCTTTTTAGTAACAGGGATCGAACTCAGGACCTTGCCCTCAAAACATTTCTTAAATGATCAACATGTCCATGTGTAGAGTTAAGTAGAGTCTGACTGAGGAGTTAAGACAACAAAAGGGACAGACACAATATAACCCACTTTAGTCATCCATCAGTTATCTGTAGGCCAAGTAAAGAGTCAGTGTTTGCTGCAAAAGCAGCTTTAAGTTCTTGGGAAGTAACTTAGGCAGCTGGTCAGGGGTGCTATCTGTAGCACCTAACAATGTATTCCATCTATGTGACCCCTACACTTAGTGACTTAAGAGCAAGTGGAGCCAGGTATGGTGGCGCATGACTGTAATCCCAGCACTTGGGAGACTGAGGCAGGAGGACTGCTGTGAGTTCAAGGCCAGCCTGAACTACTTAGTGAGACCCTGTCTCAAAAAAAGAGGAAGTGAAGCTAGAGGGCTCAGAGTCTCATATCAGGTCTATTAAAATGTGAAGGTGAATAGTTTATTGCTCCCAGGAGTTAATTTTGTTATTTCAGCCTTTTGTCCTATCACTATCCCACCATAGTGGACCCTGTTTCACTGGTCCTTCGTCTCAGAGGGAATAGCAATAAATATTGTTATATGAGATTAAATGAATTAAACATGTAAAGTGGCTAGCAAGTAGTAAGCTCTCAGCAGGTGTTAGCTAAGCAGTTGGTTGCCTCCTTTTCTCCCTGTTATATGTCGTGGTGCCAAGGCCGTTGGCTTTCAGAGGACTGGCATCAGAACCAAAGTTCTCTGAGCTTTGGAAAAACCCATCACCCAAGGGATCTAGACCACCACACTTGAGTTTTACCTGAACTGATGACTCCTGTTCTGTCAGACTGACTCATTTCCCTGCTGGATATCTCTTAGAGTGTGAAACTTCTATCACCAGGAGTCCTCTATGTTATGAAATTGGTATCTGGTGTTCTAGAAGCCTTCTATGGTAGGAAGAGGTTAAAAGATCCCCTGAAACAATCTTGTGGCTTTGGAATAGATTGGACATAATATATCCCAGCCTTTGTAGTATGTGCCTTGGCATATACACACTTGGTTTTGTTTTATAAAACATCAAGCTTTTTTTTTTTTGAGTCAGGGTCTCAGTTTAGGCTGGCCTTGAACTCAACGATGATCCTCCTGCCTCAGCCTCCCAAGTGCTGGGATATGGGATATGGTGCATGAAGAGGAAGATCATTAAGATAAAACTGCAAGGTCTTTCATAATTCCCTTGGCAAAGTACTGAGGAGTAAAAATGAGAGATTGAAAGTAATTTAGGGATAGAAAGTGGGTTTGCCATAGCAGTGCCTGCTGCTGGAGAACTAATAAGAAAACCCATCCTCAGCCCAGCTTGGCTTATGCCAACTCTGCCCTCTCTTCCCTCTACAGGATCTCTCCTCTCCCCAGTCTGCCATCTCTAGGTCCTACAAATCATAAGGTACTTGAGGACTGTGTAGTACAGCTGCTTTACAATCCTGGCCTTGTGTTGAAGAATTCTTAGGAAATTTAGGGCCACACTTCTGCCAGTGTTTTTCCCCAAAAAAAGCTAAAAAGCTAGTGCTGTCTTATTATTCATGGCTTATATTAAGCATTTCCAGGTATCAGTTGAATTTTCAGTACCAAAAGTTACTTAATATTTC